TTCCTATTTGTGGTGATTTCCATATCTCAATCTAGGGTGGGCTCGAATGTCGACAAAGTATGAAGAGAATAGAACGGTTTTGTGATATCTACTGTTTTTATGGGGAAAAGCATGTGTATATCTTGAACTTGGAGATTCATTTTGCTTTTTAACCATAATGATCGTGACTCAGTTGCTATTCTAGCAAAAAGCTAATTTGGTGAAAATTGACCGAAAGGGTCTCTAAGAAAACACCAACGATTTTGTTAAATTGCAAAGTAGAAAAATTAATCTTGGCATTGAATATTGTAGTCCAAGAATAGTTTCTCTTGCCAAAGTAGTAATATTATTATATTTTTAAAATTTGGAAAAACTTTAGTCTGTTTCAAAAACGTGTTTTTTCAAGAAATGGTTTCATTTAAAGCCATTCTTCAAAATTTGATGTAGCTTTTCCATATCAGAACGGTTTTGTCGACAATATGATCAGTGCTGGATGACCTTTGAAAAATAAGGCCAGTAAATAAACTTTATCTTCATGTCTTTTTGAACAGTACCGTATTTAGTGAAAAAATCAGTTCAAATTTTTGGCCCGATCGGCGGGCAAAAACTAATTATCAAAATTCAGAGAGTGATCAGATATTGTTTTGAAGACGTGATTTTATCTAGATAGACGCTAGCGCTTCATTTAGCGGGCGCTTAATTTTCGGATTTTTTTTTCATTACCGTATAGGTTACAAGAGCGCAATTATTTGTTTACATTTTACCGGCAAGTTTTTTACCCCAAGATGGTACTCAGAATAGAATCCTATACGGCTTCTGATTGGATGATAAAGGATTGGAATTACATTTAATCGAAAGCTTATCCAATTAGGTTTAAAAATTGCAGAAAATCATATTCACATTTTACGAAGTATAGAAAATATCCTCAATTTCTGCACGTCGGAGCCATTAAAAATATGCCTTTTTCATTAAGCGAAAAAAATAGACGATCTTTTTCAACTGCATTTTAAGTCAATTTCTGCCGCATGACCCTATATATTTTTTTGGTTGTAATGCAACACTGGCATTTCTAGTAACAGGAACTGCAATCCGTTTTTCCCTAGTTTGTGTAGTCTTCGAGAAAAAAAATACGGAACACCAGTGGTACCCTATGGAAAATGCATTACGAATAATTGCGCTCTTGTAACCTATAGAAAAAAGACATTTTTTTTTAATAAGGCTTTGAAAAATGTTTAAAATAGTCATTTTGCTCGGAAAAAATGTGAAACAGCGAGAAATGGGGTCAAATGGACTTTTCATCAACGTGAATTCAAGCTATAGTCTGTTTCCTATTTGTGTTGATTTCCATATCTCAATCTAGGGTGGGCTCGAATGTCGACAAAGTATGAAGAGAATAGAACGGTTTTGTGATATCTACTGTTTTTATGGGGAAAAGCATGTGTATATCTTGAACATGGAGATTCATTTTGCTTTTTAACCATAATGATCGTGACTCAGTTGCTATTCTAGCAAAAAGCTAATTTGGTGAAAATTGACCGAAAGGGTCTCTAAGAAAACACCAACGATTTTGTTAAATTGCAAAGTAGAAAAATTAATCTTGGCATTGAATATTGTAGTCCAAGAATAGTTTCTCTTGCCAAAGTAGTAATATTATTATATTTTTAAAATTTGGAAAAACTTTAGTCTGTTTCAAAAACGTGTTTTTTCAAGAAATGGTTTCATTTAAAGCCATTCTTCAAAATTTGATGTAGCTTTTCCATATCAGAACGGTTTTGTCGACAATATGATCAGTGCTGGATGACCTTTGAAAAATAAGGCCAGTAAATAAACTTTATCTTCATGTCTTTTTGAACAGTACCGTATTTGGTGAAAAAATCAGTTCAAATTTTTGGCCCGATCGGCGGGCAAAAACTAATTATCAAAATTCAGAGAGTGATCAGATATTGTTTTGAAGACGTGATTTTATCTAGATAGACGCTAGCGCTTCATTTAGCGGGCGCTTAATTTTCGGATTTTTTTTTCATTACCGTATAGGTTACAAGAGCGCAATTATTTGTTTACATTTTACCGGCAAGTTTTTTACCCCAAGATGGTACTCAGAATAGAATCCTATACGGCTTCTGATTGGATGATAAAGGATTGGAATTACATTTAATCGAAAGCTTATCCAATTAGGTTTAAAAATTGCAGAAAATCATATTCACATTTTACGAAGTATAGAAAATATCCTCAATTTCTGCACGTCGGAGCCATTAAAAATATGCCTTTTTCATTAAGCGAAAAAAATAGACGATCTTTTTCAACTGCATTTTAAGTCAATTTCTGCCGCATGACCCTATATATTTTTTTGGTTGTAATGCAACACTGGCATTTCTAGTAACAGGAACTGCAATCCGTTTTTCCCTAGTTTGTGTAGTCTTCGAGAAAAAAAATACGGAACACCAGTGGTACCCTATGGAAAATGCATTACGAATAATTGCGCTCTTGTAACCTATAGAAAAAAGACATTTTTTTTTAATAAGGCTTTGAAAAATGTTTAAAATAGTCATTTTGCTCGGAAAAAATGTGAAACAGCGAGAAATGGGGTCAAATGGACTTTTCATCAACGTGAATTCAAGCTATAGTCTGTTTCCTATTTGTGTTGATTTCCATATCTCAATCTAGGGTGGGCTCGAATGTCGACAAAGTATGAAGAGAATAGAACGGTTTTGTGATATCTACTGTTTTTATGGGGAAAAGCATGTGTATATCTTGAACATGGAGATTCATTTTGCTTTTTAACCATAATGATCGTGACTCAGTTGCTATTCTAGCAAAAAGCTAATTTGGTGAAAATTGACCGAAAGGGTCTCTAAGAAAACACCAACGATTTTGTTAAATTGCAAAGTAGAAAAATTAATCTTGGCATTACAATTGTAGTCCAAGAATAGTTTCTCTTGCCAAAGTAGTAATATTATCATATTTTTAAAATTTGGAAAAACTTTAGTCTGTTTCAAAAACGTGTTTTTTCAAGAAATGGTTTCATTTAAAGCCATTCTTCAAAACTTGATGTAGCTTTTCCATATCAGAACGGTTTTGTCGACAATATGATCAGTGCTGGATGACGTTTGAAAAATAAGGCCAGTAAATAAACTTTATCTTCATGTCTTTTTGAACAGTACCGTATTTGGTGAAAAAATCAGTTCAAATTTTTGGCCCGATCGGCGGGCAAAAACTAATTATCAAAATTCAGAGAGTGATCAGATATTGTTTTGAAGACGTGATTTTATCTAGATAGACGCTAGCGCTTCATTTAGCGCGGGCGCTTAATTTTCGGATTTTTTTTTCATTACCGTATAGAAAAAAGACATTTTTTTTTAATAAGGCTTTGAAAAATGTTAAAAATAGTCATTTTGCTCGGAAAAAATATGAAACAGCGAGAAATGGGGTCAAATAGACTTTTCATCAACGTGAATTCAAGCTATAGTCTGTTTCCTATTTGTGGTGATTTCCATATCTCAATCTAGGGTGGGCTCGAATGTCGACAAAGTATGAAGAGAAAAGAACGGTTTTGTGATATCTACTGTTTTTATGGGGAAAAGCATGTGTATATCTTGAACTTGGAGATTCATTTTGCTTTTTAACCATAATGATCGTGACTCAGTTGCTATTCTAGCAAAAAGCTAATTTGGTGAAAATTGACCAAAAGGGTCCCTAAGCAAACACCAACGATTTTGTTAAATTGCAAAGTAGAAAAATTAATCTTGGCATTGAATATTGTAGTCCAAGAATAGTTTCTCTTGCCAAAGTAGTAATATCATCATATTTTTAAAATTTGGAAAAACTTTAGTCTGTTTCAAAAACGTGTTTTTTTCAAGAAATGGTTTCATTTAAAGCCATTCTTCAAAACTTGATGTAGCTTTTCCATATCAGAACGGTTTTGTCGACAATATGATCAGTGCTGGATGACCTTTGAAAAATAAGGCCAGTAAATAAACTTTATCTTCATGTCTTTTTGAACAGTACCGTATTTGGTGAAAAAATCAGTTCAAATTTTTGGCCCGATCGGCGGGCAAAAACTAATTATCAAAATTCAGAGAGTGATCAGATATTGTTTTGAAGACGTGATTTTATCTAGATAGACGCTAGCGCTTCATTTAGCGCGGGCGCTTAATTTTCGGATTTTTTTTTCATTACCGTATAGGTTACAAGAGCGCAATTATTTGTTTACATTTTACCGGCAAGTTTTTTACCCCAAGATGGTACTCAGAATAGAATCCTATACGGCTTCTGATTGGATGATAAAGGATTGGAATTACATTTAATCGAAAGCTTATCCAATTAGGTTTAAAAATTGCAGAAAATCATATTCACATTTTACGAAGTATAGAAAATATCCTCAATTTCTGCACGTCGGAGCCATTAAAAATATGCCTTTTTCATTAAGCGAAAAAATAGACGATCTTTTTCAACTGCATTTTAAGTCAATTTTTGCCGCATGACCCTATATATTTTTTTTGGTTGTAATGCAACACTGGCATTTGTAGTAAGAGGAACTGCAGTCCGTTTTTCCCTAGTTTGTGTAGTCTTCGAGAAAAAAAATACGGAACACCAGTGGTACCCTATGGAAAATGCATTACGAATAATTGCGCTCTTGTAACCTAGAGTGAAATAAACATTGATATTTCCCATTTGAGATCACAGCGCTATTGTCCAGTAACAACTTGAGTAACTCAATATGAAAAGTTTGACAAGCAATATAGAATGTATCCACGTTATCATCACACGCATTAATGTCTGCCTTGCTGTCCAATAATAGGTTGACTTCCTCTTTGTGATTATTCTGACAAGCCATATACAAAGCAGATGCTTCATCATCATCACACTTATTTATGTCTGCCTTGTTATTAAGTAATATCAGTACTGTCTCTATATAATTATTCTGACAAACAACACTTAATGCCTTTTTGTTCAAAAATAATAATATTCCTAATAAATTACGAATGTGACAAAAAAAATATAGTAAATATTTCGTATTTTCATCACTTATACTCCAGTAATATCTTGACTATCCCTATATGCTTCAAATTACAAGCAATTAGTAATGGTGTTGCACCATTATTTGTACACTTATTAATGTCAGCCTTGTTGTCCAGTAACACCTTTACTATCTCTATATGATTATTGTAACAAGCAACATGCATAGGAGATACTCCATTATCATCACACTTATTAATGTCTGCCTTGTTGTCCAGTAACACCTTTACTATCTCTATATGATTATTGTAACAAACAACATTCATAGGAGATGCACCATTATTCGCACACTGATTGATGTCTACCTTGTTTTCAAGTAATACCTTTACTATCTCTATATAGTTGTTCTGGCAAGCGATATATAAAGGAGATGCTCCATTATCATCACACTTATTAATGTCCGCCTTGTTGTTCAGTAACACCTTTACTATCTCTACATGATTATTGTAACAAGCAACATGCATAGGAGATACACCGTTATCCCTGGACTTATTGGTGTCTGCCTTGTTGTCCAGTAGTAACTTAACTAACTCTATATGATTGTTCTGACAAGCCATATACAAAGCAGATGCTCCATCATCATCCCACTTATTAATGTCTGCCTTGTTATTAAGTAATATTTGTACTGTCTCTATATGATTATTCTGACTAGCAACATTCAATGGAGATGTTCCATTATCTCTGCATTGATTGATGTCTGCCTTGTTGTCCAGTAGTAACTTAACTAACTCTACATGATTGTTCTGACAAGCAATATATAATTGAGATCCCCAGTTAACATCACACGCATTAATGTCAGCATTGTTGTCCAGTAACACCTTTACTATCTCTATATGATTATTGTAACATGCAACATGCATAGGAGATGATCCATTATCATCACACTTATTAATGTACGCCTTGTTGTCCAGTAACACCTTTACTATCTCTACATGATTATTGTAACAAGCAACATGCAAAGGAGATACACCGTTATCCCTGGACTTATTGATGTCTGCCTTGTTGTCCAGTAACACCTTTACTATCTCTATATGATTATTGTAACAAGCAACATTCATAGGAGATGCACCATTATTCGCACACTGATTGATGTCTACCTTGTTTTCAAGTAATACCTTTACTATCTCTATATAGTTGTTCTGGCAAGCGATATATAAAGGAGATGCTCCATTATCATCACACTTATTAATGTCCGCCTTGTTGTCCAATAACACCTTTACTATCTCTACATGATTATTGTAACATGCAACATGCATAGGAGATGATCCATTATCATCACATTTATTAATGTTCGCTTTGTTGTCCAGTAACACCTTTACTATCTCTACATTATTATTGTAACAAGCAACATGCATAGGAGATACACCGTTATCCCTGGACTTATTGATGTCTGCCTTGTTGTCCAGTAGTAACTTAACTAACTCTATATGATTGTTCTGACAAGCCATATACAAAGCAGATGCTCCATCATCATCACACTTATTAATGTCTGCCTTGTTATCAAGTAATATTTGTACCGTCTCTATATGATTATTCTGACTAGCAACAATCAATGGAGATGCTCCATTATCTCTGCATTGATTGATGTCTGCCTTGTTGTCCAGTAGTAACTTAACTAACTCTATATGATTGTTCTGACAAGCAATATATAATGGACCCCCATTATCATCACACGCATTAATGTCTTCCTTGCTGTCCAATAATAGTTTGACTACCTCTTTGTGATTATTCTGACAAGCCATATACAAGGCAGATGCTCCATCATCATTACACTTATTAATGTCTGCCTTGTTATTAAGTAATATTTGTACTGTCTCTATATGATAATTCTGACTAGCAACAATCAATGGAGATGCTCCATTATCTCTGCATTGATTGATGTCTGCCTTGTTGTCCAGTAGTAACTTGACTAACTCTACATAATTGTTCTGACAAGCAATATATAATGGAGATCCCCCGTTAACATCACATGCATTAATGTTAGCCTTGTTGTCCAGTAACACCTTTACTATCTCTATATGATTATTGTAACAAGCAACATTCATAGGAGATGCTCCATTATCATCACACTTATTAATGTCTGCCTTGTTGTCCAGTAACACCTTTACTATCTCTATATGATTATTGTAACATGCAACATGCATAGGAGATGATCCATTATCATCACACTTATTAATGTCCGCCTTGTTGTCCAGTAACACCTTTACTATCTCTACATGATTATTGTAACAAGCAACATGCATAGGAGATACACCGTTATCCCTGGACTTATTGGTGTCTGCCTTGTTGTCCAGTAGTAACTTAACTAACTCTATATGATTGTTCTGACAAACCATATACAAAGCAGATGCTCCATCATCATCCCACTTATTAATGTCTGCCTTGTTATTAAGTAATATTTGTACTGTCTCTATATGATTATTCTGACTAGCAACATTCAATGGAGATGTTCCATTATCTCTGCATTGATTGATGTCTGCCTTGTTGTCCAGTAGTAACTTAACTAACTCTACATGATTGTTCTGACAAGCAATATATAATTGAGATCCCCCGTTAACATCACACGCATTAATGTCAGCATTGTTGTCCAGTAACACCTTTACTATCTCTATATGATTATTGTAACATGCAACATGCATAGGAGATGATCCATTATCATCACACTTATTAATGTACGCCTTGTTGTCCAGTAACACCTTTACTATCTCTACATGATTATTGTAACAAGCAACATGCAAAGGAGATACACCGTTATCCCTGGACTTATTGATGTCTGCCTTGTTGTCCAGTAGTAACTTAACTAACTCTATATGATTGTTCTGACAAGCCATATACAAAGCAGATGCTCCATCATCTTCACACTTATTAATGTCTGCCTTGTAATTAAGTAATATTTGTACTGTCTCTATATGATTATTCTGACTAGCAACATTCAATGGAGATGCTCCATCATCTCTGCATTGATTGATGTCTGCCTTGTTGTCCAGTAGTAACTTAACTAACTCTATATGATTGTTCTGACAAGCAATATATAATAGACCCCCATTATCATCACACGCATTAATGTCTGCCTTGCTGTCCAATAATAGTTTGACTACCTCTTTGTGATTATTCTGACAAGCCATATACAAAGCAGATGCTCCATCATCATTACACTTATTAATGTCTGCCTTGTAATTAAGTAATATTTGTACTGTCTCTATATGATTATTCTGACTAGCAACATTCAATGGAGATGCTCCATCATCTCTGCATTGATTGATGTCTGCCTTGTTGTCCAGTAGTAACTTAACTAACTCTATATGATTGTTCTGACAAGCAATATATAATAGACCCCCATTATCATCACACGCATTAATGTCTGCCTTGCTGTCCAATAATAGTTTGACTACCTCTTTGTGATTATTCTGACAAGCCATATACAAAGCAGATGCTCCATCATCTTCACACTTATTAATGTCTGCCTTGTAATTAAGTAATATTTGTACTGTCTCTATATGATTATTTTGACTAGCAACATTCAATGGAGATGTTCCATTATCTCTGCATTGATTGATGTCTGCCTTGTTGTCCAGTAGTAACTTAACTAACTCTACATGATTGTTGAGACAAGCAATGTATAATCGAGATCCCCCGTTAACATCACACGCATTAATGTCAGCCTTGTTGTCCAGTAACACCTTTACTATCTCTATATGATTATTGTAACAAGCAACATGCATAGGAGATGCTCCATTATCATCACACTTATTAATGTCTGCCTTGTTGTCCAGTAACACCTTTACTATCTCTATATGATTATTGTAACAAGCAACATTCATAGGAGATGCACCATTATTCGCACACTGATTGATGTCTACCTTGTTTTCAAGTAATACCTTTACTATCTCTATATAGTTGTTCTGGCAAGCGATATATAAAGGAGATGCTCCATTATCATCACACTTATTAATGTCCGCCTTGTTGTCCAGTAACACCTTTACTATCTCTACATGATTATTGTAACATGCAACATGCATAGGAGATGATCCATTATCATCACACTTATTAATGTTCGCTTTGTTGTCCAGTAACACCTTTACTATCTCTACATTATTATTGTAACAAGCAACATGCATAGGAGATACACCGTTATCCCTGGACTTATTGATGTCTGCCTTGTTGTCCAGTAGTAACTTAACTAACTCTATATGATTGTTCTGACAAGCCATATACAAAGCAGATGCTCCATCATCATCACACTTATTAATGTCTGCCTTGTTATCAAGTAATATTTGTACTGTCTCTATATGATTATTCTGACTAGCAACAATCAATGGAGATGCTCCATTATCTCTGCATTGATTGATGTCTGCCTTGTTGTCCAGCAGTAACTTAACTAACTCTATATGATTGTTCTGACAAGCAATATATAATAAACCCCCATTATCATCATACGCATTAATGTCTGCTTTGCTGTCCAATAATAGTTTGACTACCTCTCTGTGATTATTCTGACAAGCCATATACAAAGCAGATGATCCATCATCATCACACTTATTAATGTCTGCCTTGTTATCAAGTAATATTTGTACTGTCTCTATATGATTATTCTGACTAGCAACAATCAATGGAGATGCTCCATTATCTCTGCATTGATTGATGTCTGCCTTGTTGTCCAGTAGTAACTTAACTAACTCTATATGATTGTTCTGACAAGCAATATATAATGGACCCCCATTATCATCACACGCATTAATGTCTGCCTTGCTGTCCAATAATAGTTTGACTACCTCTTTGTGATTATTCTGACAAGCCATATACAAGGCAGATGCTCCATCATCATTACACTTATTAATGTCTGCCTTGTTATTAAGTATAATTTGTACTGTCTCTATATGATAATTCTGACTAGCAACAATCAATGGAGATGCTCCATTATCTCTGCATTGATTGATGTCTGCCTTGTTGTCCAGTAGTAACTTGACTAACTCTACATAATTGTTCTGACAAGCAATATATAATGGAGATCCCCCGTTAACATCACATGCATTAATGTTAGCCTTGTTGTCCAGTAACACCTTTACTATCTCTTTATGATTATTGTAACAAGCAACATTCATAGGAGATGCTCCATTATCATCACACTTATTAATGTCTGCCTTGTTGTCCAGTAACACCTTTACTATCTCTATATGATTATTGTAACATGCAACATGCATAGGAGATGATCCATTATCATCACACTTATTAATGTCCGCCTTGTTGTCCAGTAAAACCTTTACTATCTCTACATGATTATTGTAACATGCAACATGCATAGGAGATGATCCATTATCATCACACTTATTAATGTCCGCCTTGTTGTCCAGTAACACCTTTACTATCTCTACATGATTATTGTAACAAGCAACATGCATAGGAGATACACCGTTATCCCTGGACTTATTGATGTCTGCCTTGTTGTCCAGTAGTAACTTAACTAACTCTATATGATTGTTCTGACAAGCCATATACAAAGCAGATGCTCTATCATCATCCCACTTATTAATGTCTGCCTTGTTGTCCAGTAACACCTTTACTATCTCTACATGATTATTGTAACAAGCAACATGCATAGGAGATACACCGTTATCCCTGGACTTATTGATGACTGCCTTGTTGTCCAGTAGTAACTTAACTAACTCTATATGATTGTTCTGACAAGCCATATACAAAGCAGATGTTCCATCATCATCACACTTATTAATGTCTGCATTGTTATTAAGTAATATTTGTACTGTCTCTATATGATTATTCTGACTAGCAACATTCAATGGAGATGCTCCATTATCTCTGCATTGATTAATGTCTGCCTTGTTGTCCAGTAGTAACTTAACTAACTCTATATGATTGTTCTGACAAGCAATATATAATAGACCCCCATTATCATCACACGCATTAATGTCCGCCTTGCTGTCCAATAATAGTTTGACTACCTCTTTGTGATTATTCTGACAAGCCATATACAAAGCAGATGCTCCATCATCATTACACTTATTAATGTCTGCCTTGTTATTAAGTAATATTTGTACTGTCTCTATATGATTATTTTGACTAGCAACATTCAATGGAGATGTTCCATTATCTCTGCATTGATTGATGTCTGCCTTGTTGTCCAGTAGTAACTTAACTAACTCTACATGATTGTTCTGACAAGCACTATATAATCGAGATCCCCCGTTAAAATCACACGCATTAATGTCAGCCTTGTTGTCCAGTAACACCTTTACTATCTGTATATGATTATTGTAACATGCAACATGCATAGGAGATGATCCATTATCATCACACTTATTAATGTCCGCCTTGTTGTCCAGTAACACCTTTACTATCTCTACATGATTATTGTAACAAGCAACATGCATAGGAGATACACCGTTATCCCTGGACTTATTGATGTCTGCCTTGTTGTCCAGTAGTAACTTAACTAACTCTATATGATTGTTCTGACAAGCCATATACAAAGCAGATGTTCCATCATCATCACACTTATTAATGTCTGCATTGTTATTAAGTAATATTTGTACTGTCTCTATATGATTATTCTGACTAGCAACATTCAATGGAGATGCTCCATTATCTCTGCATTGATTGGTGTCTGCCTTGTTGTCCAGTAGTAACTTAACTAACTCTATATGATTGTTCTGACAAGCAATATATAATGGACCCCCATTATCATCACACGCATTAATGTCTGCCTTGCTGTCCAATAATAGTTTGACTACCTCTTTGTGATTATTCTGACAAGCCATATACAAGGCAGATGCTCCATCATCATTACACTTATTAATGTCTGCCTTGTTATTAAGTAATATTTGTACTGTCTCTATATGATTATTCTGACTAGCAACATTCAATGTAGATGTTCCATTATCTCTGCATTGATTGATGTCTGCCTTGTTGTCCAGTAGTAACTTAACTAACTCTACATAATTGTTCTGACAAGCAATATATAATGGAGATCCCCCGTTAAAATAACACGCATTAATGTTAGCCTTGTTGTCCAGTAACACCTTTACTATCTCTATATGATTATTGTAACAAGCAACATTCATAGGAGATGCACCATTATTCGCACACTGATTGATGTCTACCTTGTTTTCAAGTAATACCTTTACTATCTCTATATAGTTGTTCTGGCAAGCGATATATAAAAGAGATGCTCCATTATCATCACACGCATTAATATCTGCCTTGTTGTCAAGTAATACTTTTACAGCCTCCATATAATTATTGTAAAAAGCAACATGCATAGGCGATGTACCATTATTTACACACTTATTTATGTCTGCCTTGTTGTCCAGTGGCTTTTTTTCTATCTCTATCTGTTTATTCTGACAAGCAATATATAAATTCAAATTTTGCTGATTTTTGTGTATCTTTTTCATTTCTACATCTGATTCACTGACAGGTTTTCTTGCTTTGTTCTCTGCATATTCTGTCCCACTTTTCAGTATAAGATTATCTAATGTACTTTTAATTTCAAAATTTGTTTGACTATCAACTGTTCCACCAATCGTACCTTTGAAAACATCCTGAAATAATTTTCACGTGATTTTGATAAATTCATTCATAGTCTAGATAATACAGCATAATATTATCGAAAATGTACTTTAAATAAAAAAGGAAAGACAGTAAGCTCATGTTCATGTTGTATGAAATTCAAAACAGTTTGACAACATTGTCGATAGAAAATTAAACTTAAACTTAAACTGTTAATTAATATTGGTACCAATATCGCAAATAATTGGCTGTGGATGCTTCCCCTTGATAACAGAAATATTTTCTACAAAGTATGATCAATTGTGAAAGGAGTGTTAAAATAAGTGATTAAAAATGCAGTGGTTATTTTGCCAGCTCCAGCACAGTGCTATTTTACCGGCTATGGCAAAACAAATAGTCTACGTAATGCTATTTTGCCAAATTCAGTAAAATAGCATACCTGATGGTATTTTAACGCCTATGACAAAAATAGTGATATATAAAGAGTTTTGACTAAATGAAATAAATTGACCGGTTCGAAAATGGACGACTACACTTTGTTGTCAAAACGACTTGAAATAAACGCTGTTTTTTTACTCATATGAAGATCTAATTCAGGTTTTAGTAGCACTTTGAATAGGAGAACCATGTGCAGTTGTGGGAAATATATGAAAACTAGAAACGCAATTTATTTGAAAAAGAGAATTTCTATTTTATTCTCTTTTTTCAATGTTTTCTATTTGTGTGAACAAAATATTCCAACAAACATTTAACTGGAATGATTGTAACAAATATATTTGATGATGGTATCAAATAACACTACACAACAAAAATTGGAGATCAATCTCAAGAATTGAACACGTTTTACTTTACATGTACAAGAAACGTAGAAATTATTTGTTAACAAGTATTGGGGAAATTTCCCCATAAAGTTGATAACAAATCAGATATCAATAATTTTGGAAATTTCCCCCAAACAATTATGACCAACAAGAAATCAAAAGAATGGGGAAATTTCCCTAAAAAGATGTAAACGAAAAAGAAATCAATAGATGATGAAATATCCTCAAAATGATGAAAACTAAAAAGAAATCAATAGAATGGGAAAATTTCCCTAAAAAAGACGATAACCAACAAGAAGTCAATAGAATGGGGAAATCTCCCCAAAAAGATGATAACCAACAAGACATCAATAGAATGGGGAGATTTTCCCAAAAAGATGATAACCAAAAAGAAATCAAAATACTGGGGAAATTTCCCCAGAAAGATGATAACGAAAACGAAATCACTAAAATTTGATAACCAAAAATAAATCGATAGACTCGGGATATTTCCCCCAAAAAGATGGCAACGATACCGAAATCAATAGAATGGGGAAATTTCCCAACCAGTTGATAACCAAAAAATAATATTTAGACTGGGGAAATTTCTTCACAAAGATTATAACCAAAAAGTTATCTATAGACTGGGGAATTATTCCCAAAGAGATGATAACCAAAATAAGTTCACAGGCTTTAAGAAAATACTCATGCATTGCACAATGATTGCACATTCCGTTGTATACAACAGCGAGAAATGTGTCGTCTAACAGATACTTTAAGAATAGAAAACAGTCACTGTGGTGAAACATTTTCAGCAGCAGATAACACAATTGAAAGGAATCATTGGCTGGGGAAACATTAACACTGATAAATTCAACAACAAACATTATAGATAGAGATGATACAGTATACGAAATGGGATAATTTCCTCAAAAACTCTTGTTTAACTGTAATCATGTATATCGGGGCCTTTAATAGGCGACTATACAGTATGGTTTTTCTCACGTTGAAGGCCGTAAGGATGCCGTTAATTGTTAAAAACTACTTTAAATGATCTTTGAGGAATAGTTCTCTCATTGACAATCATACCTGATCCCCTTATTTATGTATAGCTATAAATTAACTCGTATGTTTTAATATGTTGGGGTCTCGGTGGCCGAGTGCTCCAGGTAGTCCAACTACTGTATCACTAGCCAGTCAACGCTGGGATTATGAATTCGAATTCCGCTCGTGCTAGGTGCGCTCGACTACAATCTTAATTGACTAGGCCCATGATTGTCAGTTTTCCTATCGAAGGTTCGTGGTTTTCTTCGGGCAATCCGGCTTCCTCCATCAATAAAAAATGACCGCCACAAAATAGAACAATAGTGTTGAAAGTGGCGTTAAACACCAACAAATCAATCAATCAATCAATTTAATCTGGTGAATTTCCCCGCCCGTTTGAAAAAAATTACACCCTATGGGAAAAAATTGACACATTTGAAGTGATTTTATAATCTTGCAGAATGTGGTTTTAATTTCAACTGTTCAACTGTACAAGATCCAATTTTAACTTTTAATACAGTTTTAACGTCAGTTGCTGACAAAACAATTCCTAAGACCTCGTCAAATCCGAAACATCCAAGCAAACAATGGTTTGAGGACACTTGTGATCAAGCCATAAGTGACCGTAAAAAATCTGGAAGACGGTTCAATCATCAACCTACGACGGAAAACTTGAGTAATTTCCGTATTTTTCGCGCTAAGGCACGGCGGACGTGCAGGCAAGCACGACGAACGTCTTGGAAAAAAATTGTCTTGGGGATAACATCTCTCACTCCGATGACAAAAGTATGGAACATGATACAAAAAATTAAAGTTAACAATTCCAAAGCCACGGTAAAGCATTTAAAAGATGGCAATAATTTATTAACATCTGCAAAAAATATTGTCAACAAGCTTGTGAACTTTTGCGAAATCTTCTTCTTCTAACAACTACAGGGAAGAGTTTTAAAAAGTTAAAAAACAAAAATAAGAAATAAAGTTGAACTTTAAATCGAAAAAACTCTTTTCTCTGGAAGAACTTAAAACATCTCTGTCAAAAGTCCATGATACAGCTTGTGGGCCTGATAATGTTCACTACCAACTCTTTAAACACTTGCCAAATTCCTCACTGGAAGCTCTTTTGTAGCTCATGAATAACATATAGGAATCTGGTAATTTACCATCAATTTGGAAGCTTGCAACCGTCGACCCTATTCCAAAACCAAGTAAAGATCACACATATCTTATTAACTATCGACCAATTGCTCTTAACAGTTGTGTCTGTAGAACACTAGAACGGATGGTTAATGATCGCCTTGTTTGGTTCCTGGAATGATGGGTGTCCCTCAGGGGAGTATTTTATCTGTTTCATTATTTAGTCTTAAAATTAACAGCCTTGTTGAAGTTTTGAAAAGTAATATTGAAGGTTCATTGCACGTTAATATGTTACAGAGGCAAACATATGAATAACAAAAAAAGACATTTACAATAATGTCTTGGAAGAATTGAAAAATGGGCCTCGGAAAATGGTTTTAAATTTTCTACTTCAAAAACGGTCGGGATGAATTTTTGTAACAAAAGGAAATTGCATCTTGACCCAGAACTCACCTTGTACGGAAACCAAATTAAAATGGTTGATGAAACCAAATTTTTGGGGCAAATTTTTGACAAAAAGTTAACTTTTCTAACCCATATCAAAATGTTAAAATCGAGATGTTTAAAAGCATTTGATATTCTAAAAGTTGTCGGCATTACTGACCGGGGTGCTGATCGCAACATTTTACTTAATTTATATAGATCTCTAGTTAGATCTAAACTAGATTATGGCTCAATAGTGTATTGCTCTGCAAGGAAGTCATACATACAGATTCTCGATGCTGTTCATCACCCGGGTTTGCGTCTTTGTCTATGCGCCTTTAAAACCTCACCAATTGAGAGTCTGTATGTAGAGGCTGATGAGCACTCACTCTCCAACAGACGTTTGAAGCTTGGACTTCAATACGCTGTCAAGCTAAAAACATATCCTGAAAATCTTGCCTACGACTGTGTTTTTAATCGTATTTATGAAGATATATTTGCAAACATGAAAATAAAATTCCTACATTAGGAATTCGTTTAAAACTACATTTAACCACTTTGATTTAAAATCTGTTGCACATGTCGAAACTTGAAATGCCCTCCATGGGAACTTCCTAAACCGAAAATGATATTTGATATCCGTAAATACAAAAAAACGGAAACAAACCCTCTTTTAATTCAACAACATTTTGCTGAAATTAAGGCAAATTATTCAGATTTTTCAACTGTTTATACAGATGGATCGAAGGATGATAACCGAGTTGCATCTGAAGCTGTTCTTAGAGACAGAGCTGCAACTCTCCGTGTGTCATCTGCTGCATCCATATTTACTGCTGAAGCACAGGCAATAATTTTGGCTTTGGAATTTATTGCAACTTCTGACAAATCCAAATTTATAATGTGTTCTGATTCACGTTCATGCTTACAAGTTATACAACATACTAAACTCAAAAACCCGATAATTCTAAAGATTTTATATGTAATGAGGAATTTGCAAATTCTTCATAAAGAGATAATTTTTCTATGAGTATCGAGTCATGTTGGAATCCATGGATTGCATGGAAACGGTTGTAGACCAGGAAGCAAAAAATGCCCTGAATGACCCTTTATCTAATTGTGATATACCATATACCGATTTTAGATCTAATATTAGAAAATATGTTTTTAATTTATTGAAAAATTAATGGAGTAAAAAAGATGATAATAAATTACATGAAATTAAACCTAAATTAGGTAAATCTTTTAATAAAATTATTAGTGGAGTGACTTTAACCATAAAATTAAATATTTAATGCACACACCTAACACAGCTAAATTATATAACATTCAAAAGCTACACATTTGTACTATCTGTTTTGCCTGGTCGTAAAAAAATCGTACGGTGCAATTTCCGACAAATCAAGATCAAAGGTCAAGGACGAATAAGTGCATATTTTCCAAGATGTCAGTTTGATTGAATAATATGACTTCTATATAATAAATTCACGTATGCAAACAATTTAAACTTTTACCAGAGTGGTTAGCAGTCATTAATCAAACGCATTTTTAAATATCTAAAGAGTGTTTTTGATAGACAGCACATGTTTCCTGAAATTCGAGTAAAAGTTAACAAAATGAGTGAAAACCTAAAT